CCTCGCTCCGGCAGAAACAGGAAATACCGTAACTTTTCAAAAAATGACTTCAAATCAGCAATTTAATAATACTAAATTAAACTAAATTAAGCAATGCTTTATACAGTTTATTTTTTGCAAACCTCTTTTTGTGTTAAAATTGGATGTTTATAAGCTGCTTGGTTTTTGCAACAGTGCCTGTAAATAAAACGTTATAATGTAATTGACATGTTAACAAGTGTTTAGACTACACGGGGATATGACCCTAAGTAAATACAAAGAGGTAAAAACATGAGGTTACATGAAGTCTGTATAACGATATTGAATGTCTATCTTGTTTTACGCAGTTTTCCAGTAGCCTAAACGTTTGCAGGAACTGTTTGTACACAGGGTGTTTCCTGACGGACACACATAGTGTTGAGTCGGTCAGGTAGGGCAGCAGCAGGTGAAGTCAGGACCGATGCAGACTCTCTGTTGGAGGGCTTGATAACCCACTCCCCCTCCACACTCGTTGGATTGGAATAGCACTTAATGTGGCGGACCCTCCACGAGAACACGCGAATGGAGGGGTAGGGTGTAGGGGGCGAATCGGGCCTCCATTACATCAATTCATCCATTCGTCATTCCCTACATCACTTCATCCATCCCTAATCCCTCACTCTCTCTCATCCCTCACTCCCTACATCCCTTCATCCCTCCCTTCCTACAACCCTTTAACCATTCATTCCTTCTTCCGGTCTCCCCTTATGTCTTATCTTTTAATATTAATATACTTTTGTCTCATTCTAGTTATACCGTCTGGGGGGCTTCTATTCAGACCGGGCAGAAACACGCCTGTGACAGAACCCCCACCCTGAGTTTCCCCTCCTCCAGGACTTTATTTTGTCCTCCAGTCCGGCCTGACAGACAATATCCCTCATCCTATACAAGGGACTTTCATTTTATGAAAATACGTATGACACTTCTGTCACTGCCTCTCATGCATAGCATTTACATCTTTTGAAAATGTGCCGATAACATTGTTTTTTGTTTCTGTTCCTCCTCCACCAATATATACCGACGATTCATTCTGCACCAGAATGTCATTATTCCAGCTGTCTCCCGTGTGTGTGATTCCTGTTCATTTGCGATAAAAAATATAATGACATAGTTTGCCAGAGAAGATAAAACTAGTTTTGACATCATCTACAAATGCACCTCATCGGCTGGTTGCTCGAAAATTAAAAAGTATAAAACGTTTGGAGACCTGCCTCTTGGGTGAATTTTGAAGCCAACTAAGTGGCTCCTTAAAAACAAACGGCAGCTGAAAGATAGATGTGATGCTCTATGAAGGAACTCAGAGGATGTGGCAATACTGCAAAAGTAAAAGCTGACATTAAAGAGTAAAAAGGTATTAGCCTTAACACGGTTCCATCAGTATTAATACATTTGGAAAGGAAATGATCGGGACAAATAGCAAACATTGTCCCTGGAAGTGTACACTGTGTGTGGCAAGAGCAGCCTCAGCTGCCTTCCTGCATCACAAAAGTTCAAATTACTCACACCAGAAGTTCAAGTTGACCCAGCCACACCCCCAACCCCCCTGGGTTACAGTTACAGGTCAAATACTGGTTACCTGTCTAAATGCAACAAGCAGTGGAACTGTTGTTCCAGTCAAGTTTAACACCCTCAAACTAGAGCCACTGACGAGTAATCGATGAAAAGAAAATTGTAAAGTCATTGTAAACTCTTTCCATGAAATATGTCAGAAAATCACTATTTTCTGACATTGTATAGATCAAATGATTAACCCATATAACAATTCACATTTTATAGAGCAAACAATACATCAATATAAAATGTCACAGATTAATCGAGAATGAAAACAATCATGAGGGGCAGCCCCAGATCAAATGAAATGTACACTCATTCAAAATGTTTGTTCATCTGTCCACAGTCCAAAGATGTATTTTGGTGCATTAACACAAGCGAAGAATAAAGTTGTAAATACAATTTAAAAATATACGTTTTTAAACATATGCAAAAGAACAGAACAAAACATGAAACATTTCCAGAATATAAGAAATTAAAGTGGCAGAGCTGTGCAGTTTTAAAGGGTAGCATTAAACAAAATATGCAAACATGTGCATTATTATCATTTAACTGTGCTCATGTATGTGCTTTTGTGTCTATTTTTGAATGTATTGGTCTGTCTTAATGTATTTTTAATTGTGCATATGTGCTTTCATATGTTCTGTAATTGTGTTCATGTGTTTCTGTCCGTGTCTATGTGTTCTTGTATGTCTTCATGTATTGCCACAAACCTGCCAGGGACTGCATAGGAAAATTATCTTTTGTAGTTACATTTGGCACATTTACATGATGGACTCAAGTTCTCATGTTAATTCATATGTATTGTCCCTTTTTAATAACAAAAAGATATAGATATGCAGAAGTGTGTGTAATATAATACATTATGCTCTAGTCTCCAGTGTCAAAGCTAATTAGCCCTGTGTTGCATCCCTTCACACATGCATGTATTAATTTGCATCCGGCTGCGTGTTGACTCTCTGTCTCTGCTCCTGCTTTATCCGCAGGTGATAATTAACCTGTTGGTGCGGTGCCCCCCCCCGCTCCCACCCTGACATCCCAGCATCTGTTGCTGCTGGCAGCGGCAAGGCAGCAGACACAACAACACCGCCATCATTTATCCAAGCACATGAATCATCATCACCGCTGATGAATGTCACTCAATTTAACCTCTATTGTAAACAGCAGGCACTCCGACACTGCTTAGCCTGAACTCTCCTGGACTGCAGGACCCGAGCTGGGGAGAGAGAGGACGCCTGAATACTGATACTGGTAGCTGATGTAGCTACGGTTAGCGCCAGGGGAGTGACTCTGTGTTGAAAAGAGGTGTAACTATAGGGGTTAGAAGTTTTTACAATGGTCTTCACCGTATACACTTCCAGGCAACGTAATGAGGGATCAATTACCAAGATAGGGACAGTGGTGTAAAGTCTCCACATTTACTCAAGTACTGTACTCAAGCACCATTTTAAGAGACTTATTTTACTTCAGTATTTCAATTTCTTTCTACTTTGTACTTCTACCGCACTACAATTCAGAGGTAAATAATGTACTTTTACTCCACTACATGTATTTAATACCTTTAGTTACTTCACAGATCTGGATGAATGATGTGAAATCTAATCAAGTGTTAAATCAGACTTTAGTTCCACCTGGAGTAAATTCACAAGCTACCCTGCAGTATACAAAGTCATTCAAACTAGCTGCACCTTTACCAGCTTTGATGATCAATAATTATAATCAATACATATGATATTATTCTGGGCCAACCAGCTGCATGAAGACTTTTACATTTGGTACTATTAGTATATTTTGATGCCAATACTTTTGAACTTTTACTTGAGTAACATTTTGATTGCAGGACTTTACTTGTAACTCTACACTCTACTTCTACTTTTACTTAAAAGATCTGAGTACTTTTTCCACCTCTGGGAAACATAAGAAACTATGTGAGGAAATGTTCAGATACTATGTCTCCCACACATTGTATGGCGGAAAAATGATTCCTCTCTCAATTGACTAAAGTTAAACCATCAGTAAACGGTGCTTATTGCGGGGTTAAGTGCAGCCAAAAAAATCCTCATACCACGATGGAAACCCCCACATACACACTATATTTATCAAACAATGCAAATCTTCCTTTCATTAGATAGCCTACTAAACTCAGAAGTGTGGGCAAGGGACTCCCTGCCCTTTTTGCTGTATTTACATGTCTATATGTTGTACCTGTATGTCTGCTTAGCTTGTGAAAATGACTGGAACATTTGGTAAAAAGTTGGTCTGAGGTGATTTAATTTGTTAGTCAACATTTATTGTAGTAAGTTATTTTTCAGAATAATTTGTACACATCATATTATTAATAAATCAGCTATTTAAAAAGTAGTGGGGACCTGTGGCACTTACCAGAGCAGGGTGATTTCTGGTTAGATGTAGTCCAGAGTGAAGTGACATATAACCGTTACTTTTCAGAAGCCACTTGAGGTGAGTAGGGTTTCGACACACATTTACAAAAACAACTCACCATTTAGTATAATAAAAAAAAGACATTAATTAACAAATAAACTCAGGTGAAAAATCTTAAGATCCAAATGTGAGGTGAACTCATAAGGTCATCTACTGTGGAATATAATGCGCCATATAATAATATAGACTGAGAACTGTGGCTTTTCCGCCTTTTAACCCGAACAAACAATTCCCTCTGTCAATGTAAAGACTCGGCGGCCCCAACCACTACAGGTGCAGAGTGACGTCATAACGTCCAGCCACAAACAGTTCAAGCTCATTATCAATACATGATTAAAATAATAGCTTAACAGCTCTAATTAATGTAAAACAAATATTGTAGTACTTTAACCATAAATATAGATATGGGATATTCACAATTTAAACATCCAACAACTCCTGCTGCTAAATAGTAGTGAAGTTTCAAATGTAAAATCTCAAGTGTTAATGTTTTTACATTCTAAAGACTTATTTTTAAGAACTTTATTAGCAAATCTCCATGTTAGGAGGTGCTTTTTCATGATATAATATATCAAAATTGTACATATCTGTCAATTAAGGTAATTTAACCCTGAGATGACACCGTTTTAAGAGTGTTGACTTAACATGTATTGAGTTGAGCTCAGCCCTATATCTAGGGAATTCACTCTAAGGCCCATTGGTCCGTAAGCAAAGTTATAGAAAGGAAAGTCCATGTTTTATTACATCCCAATATAATCAGACCTGATGTGAATATAGTTTAGGCTCTTTGTCAAGTAATACGTTTCATATATTTGCGTATTTACGCACGCAATACTGTGACGAATTCAAACAAATTATATATGAATAAAATGATGTTCTGCTCATTGCTCAAACACCGTATTTTACTTTTTCTCTCTCTCACACACACAGCGGATCGCTCTCTCTCTCTCAAACACACACAACACACACACAAACGCGTGTCCGCTCACCTCTCTTGTCTTGCACTTTGACGCTGATCTCCACCAGAGGCTCCGTCTCTCGGTCCAGTTTCCGTGATATCACTATATCCCCGCTGTCCCGGCTCACGCTCACCGGTGAGCTCTCCGCGTCGGGCTCCATCAGCTCAAACGCTGCGGCCTGAAACCTCACCGGGTTCAGGTTCATCACCACTGACCCGATCCCTGCGTCCTCGGACACGTTGATTAAAACGGGGCTGTCTGACTCCAGTACTGACCTGGACCTTCGCGCTGGCACTTTTATTTGCGACCCCCCCTGCTGGGTGTTCAGAGAGGGCGCCACGGGCCACTGGCGTGGATTGATCTCCACATCTTTACCCTGGCTCGTGCGAGGTGGCCACCCGCGGTCCCGAGCAAACACTTTAAACTTAATCGGTTCATCCAGACCGAGGATGGAGTCCACCAGGAGGATGTCTCCGGTTTTGGGCACCGCATAGAAACTCCCGTTCCTGGGCAAGGCGAAGTAGATGAGCTCCGCGTTCTTACCGCTGTCCCCGTCCCGCGCGGTCACAGTGTAGATCGCCGTGCGGAGTGCAGTGGCATCATCCAGGCTCAGCTTCACATCATTCCCAGTGAAAGTAGGCTGGTGGTCGTTGGTGTCCAGGACGTCCACCTTGATGGACGCCACCTCAGTGACAACCGGGGACTGCTCTTCCACTTCCCGGGAGAGTCCCGCGCATTGCCCGCAACACAACCCGAGACTCAGCGCGTACTCACCCCGCTGCTCCCGATCCAGAACCGCAGAAGTCTTGAGTAAAATATGCCCCCGTTTGTTGTGCGCAAAGACCCGGAAATTCACGCTCCCGTCTCCCAGGAGTTTAAAGTGCGCCGCGAATTCCCCTGTACCACACAGCCGCTCCGAGTTGAGCCGCTTCAACGGGACACTCAGTCCGTTGACCCGCGAGCCCGGAGACGAGTTCTCAAACACATGGCCGTGGAAGAAAGGCACCTGGTTCACGGTCCTGTTCCCGTGAGCGCACGAAACCAAAAAAGGTAGAAATGCGACCCAAATCATGACTGGATATCTCACTGGCTCCACTGCACTAAAGCGCTCGTGCCACGCCGAAATCCATGGGTGATCCTTGGGGATACATCTCCTCCTTGCTTTAAATATTCAAAACTTCCATTCAATTGGAACGCGGATATGTGTTGACACCATACTTCATGTCGACAGATAACTTTGTCTCTGTGTGTGCGTCCTCCTCTCCTGCTCCTCTCTGTCTGCTGTCTCACGAGCAGCGCTGTGTGTCTCTGCGCGTCCCAGAAAAAAAAAATCCTTCTTAGCAGCTCGAGTGCGCGCCTACCGCCGTTCCCTTCCTCGCTCTCTTTTTTCGTGCGCTCTTTCCGACACACTTAATCCGTCTTGCTTCCGAGTTGCTGCACACTGCGCGCAGCCATGCACCGGCTCGCTGTAGAGATGGATCAGCCCTGTTGTTAAAGCGAGTCTGTGCCACTCAGAATGCACGGGTGGGACGTGGTTCATCGCACAGAACCGGCTGCTTTACGCATGCATTGCCAGAGCATCCAGACGCAATGCATCTGAGAGAGTGATGCAGTGGGAGCAGATTCTCTTGTCGGGAATACACTTCTCAGCAAGAGGGCTGCGAGTTCTCACTTGCATTGCCAACAACGTGCACGTGTGTGCGTGTGTGTGTGCGTGTGTGTGTGTGTGTGTCAGGGGGGATCCTCGGGGAAACATCCCCGACCTCCCTTCTCCCACTGATCAATGCCCAGTCTTGCACGTCCAGATCCATCACTCCTCTTTCCAATAACGCGTCAGTCCATTGGATTAAAATAATGTAAAAATCGATCAGTTTAAAACGCCTCCAGGGGGGGCAAAGAGAAAATAAAGGATGGAGGACTCTAAGAGCTGTCTTTGTGTCACAGGAGAAGTGCCTTATTTAAACGTGTTCATCACACACTGGCTTTTTGTTGGAGCGTTGTGTCTCAAGGGGAGCCCAGGCAACATGAACAAGAGTTCCACATTCAATATAACAGATATTCACACACTTATCCCCCACATGAACATATCATTCAAATGGAGGAGCCTCTTCTCACCCCTGCTACATCTCCAAAGCATGCTGCACGATCATTATCCCATCCAGCAGCAGTCTCCTTCTTCTCTTTGTGTGTGTGCTGTTTGAACTCCTACTCACTAAAGCACTGCAACCTGTGCAGTTTTGAAAAAGTTTCAAATCAGCAGTGTTTGAAACTTTCAAGACACCAAAACTGTGTTCATACACTTTCGTAAAATAATAGTTTGCGATTGTGTGGGACTGAATTTATATCGCCGATTAGCATAACATTTAAAAATCAGAATGTAACAAGAGGTGGTTGATAACGCCATCTACCCTTAAATGGTTTGGCAGGCTGTGTCCATGTGTAAAAGGGGTGTTATAACAATGTAATTACAGTGTTTGGTGTTGTATTTATATAACAGCATGGTGTGGGTGCAATATTGGTCTGATAATAATAGTGTGATATAGGTGTAATAATAGTATAACATGGGTTTGATATGGGTGTAATAGATGTGTGACAACAGTGCAAATACGGTGTAATAACAGTGTTGATATGTGATTGCCCATTAAGGGTTAATACATGGGTACAAAGCTAATTAATTTAGATAAGTTAATGTTTTAGTGTGCAGCTTGTAGCCTTGGCTGAACTTGAGATATTTTCCCACTTGAAGCACAAAAGCTGCATTCATTTCATTCGTTTAAGGCTTGTTTACGTTCTGTTCTGGAAATGAGTGACCTATCATCTCTTACTCATAGCCAACAGGCAAACATTTTTACCTTATATAATGATTCCCGATAATATGTGTTGCCGAATAATAATTAAAACAAATTGTATTCACAGCAAAGTAAACAATATAAAGTCAGATATTAAAGTGTTTAATTACTGATTTGTTTTGATGCAATGCCTGATACATACATTATGGGGGGAAAACTGCAATTATATTATGTAGAAGTCTTCAGGGGAAGTACAACTTATACATATTCAATATTACCTCATTTTAATACAAATACATCAACATTGGGGAGCAATTAATTACTTGTTATGGGATTATCAGGATACAAAAAAAGATAATTATATTCCCTTACTGTAACGTGAAAAAATATGTAATCAGAATACTTACACATTTCTTTAAAAATGAGGATTACTACCATAATTACAATGTTACAAAAAAAAAAGCTAAAAGAGTGTTAGTTGTAAAGGATCAGATGTTATCTCTTCTCTGTGAGCTGTACTGTTCTGTAGGATAATACTTTAAGTGTGAATCTATACGCCTACTGCCTGCATCTGCTTTATGGTTTTCACTTTCTTTGCTTCATTTGTTCGGTTTTGTATTCAGTAGGTGAATCTATATGTTCATAGTGTTTGTGAGCTCAACTATGTGCATTCAAATCAATGTGTTCCCTTCAGAAGGAGTTTCTATTTCCCAGCCTAGTTAATTTCCTGAAACAGATCATTAAATATATAGAAATGACATAGGATTTTTTTCATTTCGATTTGGATCTCATTGATGTTTACAGGTAGTTTTTTGGAATTTATCATATAAAGAAGCAAATTCTTCATGAATATGATTTTTTGACTTGATGTTCTTTGGATCTTTATAATATCTTATCTGCATAATATATTTGTATAAAAGAGCTTGGTTCTGTGCCTTTACACCCTGAGTTGAAGTTTATGGTATTGTGCAGAACAGCTTGGAAACATATTGTGTTATTTTGTAAGGATTTGTCCGTAGCCACATTGATAATTTCAGTTGGTATTTCTCTAATATAAAATCTGTCATATGAAGCGCATTGTCATAAACACATCCTCAAATCCAAAACAAGCCGAGGGAAAGAGAGAGCGACGGACAGAGATAGATCTGGTCAGCTGTTAAGCCTGACTGTAGAGTAATATTCCCCACTGGCAGCGACAATGGCCCAGTGAGCACAGACTGAATCATCCTTCCTCTCATGTCTCTGTGTCTATGTTTGTTGGATTTAAAATAAAACCCAATATGCAAAGAATCCCCGATAACTGTTGGCTTATTCATATTGCAGTGTTGAGCCTGTCAGTATTACTGGACGGCTTTTGAGCTCATCACGTCTCTGCTGAAGTGACATATTTCAGTCTGCTAGCCAATGGACATTTTGAAGAAAGTGATATCATCTGACAAACAACACTGTCACACACTTGATATTGAACTGGACATGTTGTCGAGTATTCTCTGTGCTGAAATGCCGTTGGGCAAAATAATAGGATTGCAGTGCCTCTTTGCTTTAGCACACTGAAGGAGGTCTGGCAGGGAGAGCAATGTTCAGAGGGTTCAAACGCTTGTGGGTTTAAGTGTGTGTTATTGAGTCTATCAAGAAAAATAATATATGTCACAAATAAGAGCAGCACAAAAGAAAACCAAACGGCAGCCTCCATGTTGAAATACAATCTCATTAAGACGTTTGATCCAACCGTTGTTTTTTATGACTCTTCTGAAACTCCCAAGATAACCAAAATTAGGAAAATATCTGTCACACGATAAAAAACATAACGTTGTACTAACCATATACGGCATCATATTTCGGAGTTGTATGTCAGCAGCAACAACCAAAACAATGATGAGTCCAGAAAGAAAATACGGCTGGCCTCTTTCAAAATTATAAATGAAACTGCAGTGAAACATTGTCCATCAACTTTGACTCTAACATTACATGTGACTTGTTAGACGCTTTTATCCAAAGATACTTACATACTGTGGACAATCCCCACAGAAGCAATTTTGGGGTGAAGTGTCTTGCTGACTGCAGTGGGGTTTGAACCTGTGCTCCCCTGATCCGAATACCAACGCACTAGTCCACAGGCACATAAGCCAGCATTATTGATGATAACACATACGCCCTATGCTCTCCAGTAATAATACATCTCCAATACTTCTGCTTTCTTTGCCTTTTCACTGCCATGCAAGTCGTGGCTAAAATCTGCCCTGGAATACGGGAAGAAGTTGTGGTCAAACTGGTAATGTGATTCATTTGCGTTTTTATTTGTGTTAAGGTTTTGACACGCTAACATTGAAAGCCCTTGTTTTTAGTAAAGAAATATCTCCTTTACCCAGTATTAGTGCTTCCATTACATTATCTAGTTGATGATTTTATCCAAAGCTTACATACACTTCAATGCTGGAGACATGCCAGGAGCCATTTGGGGTTAAGTATCTTGCCCCAGGACACTTCGGCATTTTGAGACACTCGTTACCCCCCTGAGCCAAAGCCGTCCTTAGTTATGAATCCCATTTTCCCCAATTTGTCCAACCCTGATAAGAATTGATCTGGTGTAAGATACTTTATAAGTTTTTCCGCAGAGTATCCAGATGCATTTTACCATCAAAGCCATCATTCTTTTGTTCCTTCTAATCATGATCGAGGGCCAACCAATATTGTCATATTACGATCCCTTGTCATAAAGTTTGGCCGCCTCCAAAAGTGATTGGCAACGTGAGAATGGTTGGCACTCAACCTGTCATTTTCCATTCATTATCCTGACAGCTGACAGACTGCGCTGAGGATCATTCAAATCCGTGCAGACTCACTAAATCTCAATAAAGTGGAACGTCAATCTGGCTCGGTATCCACCAAGCAGTTCTCAAGTCTGGGGTTTGTCCCTCTAGAACAAGAACAAGCTGTTAGATTGACACAACACACACTCCCCTAACTGCCATTGATTATTCCGCCCGCCCATTTTAACAACCTACCCATTCTTTATTCTCTTTCTATCTTTGTCTGTCCTTTCTTTTTGCATTGTCTTTGCAAAACCAGATTTCAATTAATGGATTATCAGCTTTTGATCCTCAAAAAAATCAAATGAAGCTTCAGCCTAAAGCTTGTCTGAGACACACACACACACACACACACACACACACACACACACACACACACACACACACACACACACACACACACACACACACACACACACACACACACACACACACACACACACACACACACACACACACACACACACACACAC